CCCCAAAACCCCAAAACCCCATCTATTATAATTTTCAAACAAATAGTGGATATATTTATTAGTTATCATAACTATCTCATATTATTAATTTCGTGATTTTCTTCCAATAAGAATTACTTTCTAAAATCGCTTTGTGGTACTTCATAATCTAGATAAAACTTCACCATATTTCCAAATCCTTTAAAGAAATTCACTGTTGAAATTTTTCTACCTAGATGCTTTTCCACTTCATCGTTCTCGTATAAAGAATATCCTTAAAAAATTAAGTACTAATATTTCAGAGTTTTGTCAACTGAAAATCCAAGTACAAAGGTTGACAAAACAAATAATGAGATGTATATAGTATCATATACTACAATATCTCCGAAAAAGCTTTGGCTTTGAAATATTATGTAAATAATTCCATAAATGAAAGATATACATCTGAAGCATGGAGCTATAGTTTCAATAAAAACAAAAGCAAATATAAGTATCTAGGTATTATATTTCACTAAATCTAAATTTTCCTGGTTAAATGTAGCATACTTGCTAGAAAATAACCAGTACTGTAAAAACATATTGTGATAAATTATTACAATAGTCAAGCTTGATAAAACTAACGAGTTTAAAAAAATGACATATGTTTGGAAATTTCTTTTGCCTATGCAATTATTCACAAGGTTAGAATGATGATCATATGAGGTAACACATTGATCACATAGCTTACAATGAAAAGCTAAAGGTGGTCTATAAATAAAGCATACTTTGCAAAAATGGGAGCTATAAATCTAACAGCTCTCTTAGTTTAACTCATTAAGAAAATTTCCAGTTTCCACTTCATTTATCGTTTACAATATATTTTCATCTTATTTCTTCTACTATTTTGGTACAACTAAGCTATTCTTTGAGCAATTTAACCTTGTTTCGTCATCGTCTTCAGAAGTTAAGTTATCTTCATCTGATTTTTAAATTTAAATCATTTCTATTTTCACTTTATTTTTACTTTTGTCTTATTGCCTTTTTAGATATGTATAATTCTTATGTCTTAAAATAGCTCCAGGATCACTCATTGAAGCTAAAAAATATAATACTATGCTCGAAAAACAAAAGATTATTGTCAAGATGAGTAATATTAAATTCTTTGTAAAAATGAACAGTTCATACTTCTGAATCAGCAACCAATTCACTAGAACAATTAGAAGAGGATATATAATCTAGCTGCCTCTCTTAGAAGGAGGACCAATAAAAACTCTTCCCTTGCAGCATATTCGTGTTTTAGCTTGCCATTACATTTGCCAGCCATAAATATAATTTTGATCAGTAAAATTTTCAGGTTCCATTTAATTTAATGACGATTATAATTGACTTTCTTAGTTAAATTAAATGATTAATGATCTTTTCATTTTGTATTGCTATCTTAATTATACTCATCTTGCTGCATCTCTTCTGGGTTTTCAGCAACATCATCTGAGTCAGCTCCATCCTCATCTCCAATACTGCCAATATTTTTATGGTCAATATCATCAATATCTCCTTCATCATAGTGATATTAATAGTCATCTGCTTATTAGTCATCCTCAAGATCACTTTTACGCTCCTCATTTAATGGATCTTCCATATCAAGTTCATCTTTGTCATCGTCTTAAGATTGTCCTAGCTTCTAGTATTCATTAAATTCTTTAAGATCAATTTAAGAAGTATCAATTGTCAAACTAACAGGACAATGGTCACTACCCCAATACTCATTATGGATTTCAGCTTCAATGACAGTATGTTTAATAGGTTTGCTTACTAAGAAATAATCTAAGCGCCATCCTTTATTTTCTTTTCTGCTCTTATCTCTGATATCCCAGAAGCTATACTTTATTTTACCAGGATAAAGCTCCCTAAAAGTATCAACGAATCCCATTTTTGTAAAATTTGAGAAGCTCTATCTCTCTTCTGGGGTGAAGCAAGCCATTTTTTCGTTTCTTTTAGGATCAAAGATATCGATTTCTTGGTGCGCAACATTCATATCACCACAAACTATCACTGGCTTCCCTCTTCTTTCTAAATCTTTAAGATAAGCTCTGAAATCTAAGTCCCACTCGTTGCATCTATAATCATGCCATTTAAGAGTGGCACCAGAATTCGGTACGTAGACTCCAACCAAGTAGAATTTCTCAAATTCAAGAGTGATAGTTCTACCTTCTTTGTCATGTTTGTGTACACCGATATCATAGACGACGCTTATAGGTTTAATTTTTGAAAAGACAATTGTGCCTGCATATCCCTTTATTGGTGGCTTGCAACAATTCCAGTATTAATAATAATCAGCTGGGAATTTATCCTTGATCTTCTCTCCAGCCATTCTTTCTTCATCTATTTTAGATTCCTAAACACATAGGATAGTTGGGTTTGCAGATTCAAAGAATTCCTAAACTCGATTTTTCTTTAATATTGCTCTTATTCCATTTACATTCCAGGACCATATTTATAGCTTTGACATATCTATATTGGCAACTGAAGTATCGATGCTGATTTGCCTTGGTATTTATCTCAATTAAAGGCCAGACTTTTGCTATTAAATGTTTTATTTTTATTGAAATTTCTAATTTCTATTATACTATATTCTACCACCCCCATTTTAATTACCATTGTTAGTATTGTTATGATAGCCATTATTTTTTTAATAGCCATTTTTATTATTGTTTCCACCATATCCATTAGCATAGCCATTACCATTGGTATTTTTTTAGGTATATTAATATTACGTGTAACCACTCTAAGTTTACTAATAGGACTATGTTTAAGTTTGTCTAGTTTCATTATGAATTTATTCATTATCTTTTTAGCTTATTTCTGAGTCTTCATTTCTCTGATCAAACTGACTATCTGTGGGACTTTGACTGGGCTACATAGTGCTAAAAAGCTGCTTAATTACTTTTTACTCCATCTCCATTTTGTGGCCCCATAAACTTTTCAAGAGAGCTTTAGCCTCTCGCTGCATTTTTCTCAGCTATTTTCTTATACCTTGCCACTGGTCCTTTTTCACTTGGGACCAAATGTCTCTATTTGGTAGATTTACTCAATAAAATTTCACTTACATCATAAATTTATTTTCTCTTAATGGAGGAGTAACTATTTGGATCTCTTTTGTTCATTTATTCGATTTCTGTTTTAGATAAGTGTTGATAGATAAAAATTAAATTAATAGAAGATATTTAAATCTAAAGTTTAAGTAGTCAAAACAAAGAACCAAGAATAGACTTAAAGTTAGAACCGGTTTGATTAAATATTTAGAAAAATTTTATTTTAAGATTAAATCTATTGATGATTCCTATCAATAATCAATTTAAAACATTAGTGAATGATGCAAAGGGGTTTTGGGGTTTTGGGG